CGGCTGATAACCTGATTGAGAAGCAGAGGAGGTTGAAGGTTCAGGCCGGTCCTGCAAATCAAATGTGTCCTCATTCAAAATATTTATTATCACTGCTGACAGGAACTGTTAGGACTCCTCTTCGAAATTCAAACAGACAGAGCTCTTTGCAGTAACGTCCTCATTCAAAACTGCAGGCAAAACTGTTAGGACTCCTCTTCGAAATTCAAACAGACAGAGCTCTTTGCAGTAACGTCCTCATTCAAAACTGCAAGCAAAACTGTTAGGACTCCCCTTTGAAATTCAAACAGACAGAGCTCTTTGCAGTAACGTGCTAATTAACTGGCTTGCCCATCAGATTAACGTTTCCTGGTTCTGACGTCAATCCACGATCTAACAGTCATCAGATTCAAAGTTCCTAACAGGATTGGTCCTTCCAATCACAACATATATATATAGATACCATATATATATAAATATATATGTTTTCTTAAGTTTTCGCGGGTACTTACATGTATGGCATTCAGCTTTGTTCGGGTATTTTCCCACGTCATTGTAGTTGTGCTTTTAAAGTTGTAGCAACGTTTCGGCAGAATCTCATCTCCCATCAGCAGGCTTCTGTTCTGCCGAAATGTTGCTACAACTTTAAAAGCACAACTACAATGACGTGGGAAAATAAAGCTGCAGTAAAGGCCTCCAATAAAGTAACACAATGTTGCCAGCCAATCATGAGACAAAAAGAGCCTAAAAACAGACAGGAGATATTAGAAACACCAATCAAGCAGAACACAGCAAACTCCAAGACCAATAAACACAGACCAAGACTCCCAACCAATCGGGGTGAAGAAAAAACCATTCTGGCACAGCAATAGGCTGCCCCAAATTTAAATCTGAAACCACTATAAAAGCCGGACTCACAGATGAACATTATGCAGAAGCCTGATGATGGCAGATGAGATTCTGCCAAAATGTTGCTACAACTTTAAAAGCACAATTATAATGATGTGGGAAAATACCCGTACAAAGCTGAATACCATATACATACATACATACACACGTACATACATACATACACACACACATATATATATGTGTGTGTGTGTTTTCTTAAATTTTCACATGTACTTACATGTATGGTATTCAGCTTTGTTCGGGTATTTTCCCACGTCATTGTAGTTGTGCTTCTAAAGTTGTATCAACGTTTCAGTAGAATCTCATCTGCCATCATCAGGCTTCTGTATTGTGTTCATCTGTGAGTCAGACTTTCACAGCTGTTTGACAATGTTGCCAGCCAATCAAGACAAAAAAAAATGTTACAAAACAGACAGAAGACATTAGAAACACCAATCAAGCAGGACACAGCAAACTCCAAGACCAATAAACACAGACCAAGACTCCCAACTAATCAGGATGAAGAAAAAACCATTCTAACACAGCAGTAGGCTAGCACCAAATTTAAAACAGAAATGGTTGTGAAAGCCTGACTCACAGACGAACACAATACACAGGCCTGATGATGACAGATGAGATTCTACTGAAACGTCGCTACAACTTTAAAAGCACAACTTTAATGACATGAGAAAATACTCGAACAGAGCTGAATATCATACATATATATATTTGTGTATATGTTCAGATTACAGATGAACTGCACTGATTTGGAAAGATTATTTGGAAAGGGTTTTTTATTTCTTTTTTTATGTTAGGGTTTATTCAACCATTTATGTGTTTCTCATCTCAAAGTGACAAAGTACTGTCTAGGCTGCAAAATATTTGTTCTGTTTGAACCTGAAACAATGGTGTCACAGAAATGAGACTGAGGAATAATGGGGTACCCACTGAAGTCATAGCTGAAATAGGGAACTTCTTTACATTTGCCGCTTTAGAGTTAAGTAGTTTGAGATATTATGCACATTGTAATACTTTACCATTTTACCATTTTTCTTTCTATTTTAGCATGATATGACAATAATTGCCCTCCAAATAGCACTTGGTGTTTTCAACCAGTTATTACCTCCTTATGCTGCTACCCATATTTTTGAGCTATATGAAGAAGACAACGGGCAAGTATTAATTCATAGATACGCTAAATAACCATGATTAACTGAGTAAGATTTTGCATACTGTAAATATAATCATATTCTCACAGGGCACTGAATTCAATTTACAAGAACATAACCATTTGGAAGATGGAAATGTGGTTCTCATTTTATATGTCCTATATTGTCTGTTTGGCTCCCACATCCTTGTTTAGACCAATTTATTTTCATTGTGTGAAAATAAAAATAGGAATTTGTACTGTAAACCATATATTTTTGCCTTTCTTCCTCTTTGGGATGATTCATATTCAGAAGTCATACCATTGAGATGTATTATCGGAACAACACTGCTGTTGAACCCCATATGCTCACTTTGCCAGGATGCTCAAAGGCTTGTCCACTGGAGAAGTTCCAAAACTTGATTACTCCTATTTTGCCAACAAAGGAATGTTGAAAGAGGTAAGAATATCATGTTTCCATCTGTTTACCTGAGATTTTAATAAGATGTTGGAAACAAATTTAACAAGAGGTTTTCCAGATCTCTTGTATTGCTTTCCAAGCATTTTTCTTCATTACCAAAATGGCATATAAAAAGTACTTTTTACTGTTTCTCAGAAAGTCATTTAAATATCCCTGTGATTGGATAATGGGTTTGTATGTCATAAAAAATATTTTTACTCAATTTTGGATCATTTTGGATTTGGGAAGCACTGCTTTATTATAATCTTTAGAAGTTTGGTTTTAAACTTGAGGACTCCAACACCACATTTCATCTTGTCCTATTCTGAAGTATTAAAAGCCTACTAGCCTTTTTGCACTTCTAAACTATTCCACTGCTGAATGTATGTTTCAGAGTATGTTGGAAAGGACTTTTTCTTCCTACATGAGTCTAACTGATTGATATGAAGTAATAACAATTCGGTGTATGTTTTATAGAGTATCAAATTATAGGAGAAACCAATTCTCCATTAAATTGCTAAGGAGAAATTTCCTGTCAATGAGGGCAATTAATCAGTGAAATGATTTGCCTCTGGAAGTTGTAGGTGCTCCATCATTGGAGATTTTCAAGACAGCCATTTCTCCAGAAAGATAGGATCTCCTGCCATGGATTGGATTAAAAGACCTCCAAGGCTCCTTCCAACTCTATTATATTATGTTCTATAGAAACCATTCTCTAGAAATCATAACAATACCATACATATTTTCTAGAAAATATATTGCAGTGAACTTCTGGTTTAGTCATGAATTAGTATGTGCTTCACATATCTTATCATCAATGAGCCACCTACACACATGCATTGGCTTCTTGATGGCTAACAATTGTCTTCAGTATCAGAAGCAGTTTATTTCAAACTCAATGAGTCCCAAAAGTCTTAATGCAGTTTTAAAAGCTTTAAACTGCACTTTTATGAGATACTGTATATGTTACTGGGGATCAAATGTGTAATTAGTTTGTTGACATTTCCCAAATAAATATTTATAAATATTGTCATTAAGCATTCTTGCCTTTGGGTCTCCTTTCTCATTTTTTTCAGGAAGAAATCAAAGCAATGAGTAACAAAATAATCAACATCTTGAATGGAAGGTCAAAGATTACCAAAACAGTGAAAATGTTTTTAAGATACCCAAAATCAAATCACACAAATATTCTACTAATTAAACATAAAAAATAAAGGGAAAAAGCAGAATTTTTTTCAGCCTGACGTTTTCTTGGGAATAATAAAAGTGTAAGCCTTGCATCCCGTGAAATTGTATATAGTTAAATAATGCTCATCAGAATTCCATTCGCCATGAAATATGACTCCATATCATCCAGTTAACAATTTTATTTCTCTAATGATTAGATTATATGAAACTTACATACACCAAAACTATCAGGGAGGATTTCAGGAAGATTTTTAAGAGTTTGGACAATCATCTGTCTGAAATGATATTGGGTTCTTGCCTGAGCAGGCATTTGGCGTTTCCAACTCTGTTACCCAAGGATCCCTAAGAATTTCTGATATTTTCATGGTATGTTGGAACAAATTAATTACACCAGAAGTAATGTATTTGAGTCTAACCTGATTGATTGAGTGATTGATTGATTCATCCATGTAGAATATGACCAGGGGAGCCCAAAGGAGCTCTAGAACATTGTTAGTCACTAGTCCAGCCCACCTTGTTAGTCCACTAGTCCAGCCCACCTTGAGTTCTGTTTACTTTTATCTATCACCAATTCACTTTGACCATTAACAGTTCAGATTTTTGTAGACAGTGTTAGCATGCAATAAATCTGTATTCATTTGAACTGCCTTGTCTCCTGATTTCATGTGCTTGCCATTAATCTGAACTACTCTATAACACCAGAAATTTTCACAACCTCTGAAAAGCTTGAGCAATGGCATCCAATCCCAGAGCTGCAGAAACAGCTGACAAGCTGGGCACCAAAATGAATTGATAAAATCATGGTTCACTCTTTGTATCTACTCTGAGAATGAAGCTCAGCACACAGATGAATAGGGATAGTTCTTAGTATATTAAATACTTAGTAGACTAAGAGACAACCATCTCTTTGCCCAACCAGAAAAATAGGCCTTTGATCTGCAGTAGCTGGACATTTCGGGATATTGCATTTCCATAGGAGGCATGGAATGGATCCCCAAATGCCTGTTTCTAGACTGAAAACCTTGCACCAAAGACATCGAGTGCTTATTGGGCTTCACTAACTTGCACAGAAAGTGTTTGCTCAGGACTTCCAGTTTGAGCCTCTTTGTGGACAGACCAAAACCGCGATTGTGCACGGTTTCGATCCGTGCTCGCCGCTGGAGTGCCCCAAGCAGGCTGGTTTCACGGCTAAGCCACCTCGTAGAGCCGCATCTCGCCTCCTCAGCTGGCCATTGCTCCCTTTCCCAAAGGTGGTTGCAGCAGTGGTCAGAAATGGCCACCTCAAAGAAAAACTCGACCAGAAAAGAATGTGCAGGAGGAAGATACGAGGAGAAAGTTTTGGTTGACTGGTTAAACTGCAAAAGCAACAAATAAGGTACTCTGCAATTTAAACTAAAAAAAAGTAACATTGTTCCCAAAGAAGATTTTGAAGCAGCGAAGGAGAGAGAAAAGGGAAAGGATTTGGGGTTTTTTCTTCTCTCCTTTTCCCTATACTGACAGCTAAGAGATCTAAATAAGAAATTGGAAAAAAAATCCACTTTGACATTAATAGGCATTTAAGCTGAAAATAAAATATTAAATGGATAATAAAGAGTTCTGGATACTTAAAACCTTTTAAAAGCAGGAAAGGAGAGAAAAAGAATAAAAGGGCAGAATCTGGAAAAAAGGGAGGAGACTGCCTGGAATTAAAAGGAATTTACAGTAAAACCTCAACAAGACTTCTAAAAGATACATTTTAACTGAAAGTTGGCTACAAAATAGTAGAACCCCAGGAAGAGAAAGTGGAAAAAGAAGAAAGTGTTAAAAGAAACAGCTTGTGTGTATTTGGATTATTTGGTGATCACTGGATATTTGGTTATTGCATTTGAATGACTAATATCAATTGGGTGGTTGTTTAAAAGTGTTTTAAAATGGCACTACTTTTAGATGAACTGAAAATGAAACTTTACAAAAAAGATGCACAAGAAGGGAGAGGTTCTTTTGGCTTCATATTTCAATTCTTAGAAATGGAGATCTCGAACTATGAGAAGCAACAAGAAATGCCTGCAGAACAAGAAGACTGGGACAAAGAAGAAGCCATCTTTAATGAACAAGTAATTTTTATGTGGAGGGGGGAAGGAAAGGGGGGAAAGAGAATGAAAAGTTTAAGATTTGGAAAAAAAACCAAGAAAAGGAATAATAACTTGAAAAATAAGTATAATATTAGAAAGCAACAGAAGAGAGGAACACAGAAGATAGAATTAGAACTAGAGAGACAAGGAGGTAAAAAGGGGAGGGAGAAGAAGAGAAGGAAGAAGGAAAGGAAAATAAGTTATAAAGGACAGAAACAAGATATTTAGAGATAATGGGTGAAAATTTAATTGAAAAAGGGATTCTGCAAAGGTACATTAGATAGTATTGTTATATTAGAAATAGAAATAATTTTAGAAAATATGAAACAATGTATGATTAAAATGGATAAAATAGTTAATGTAATCCAGTGAAATGTTTGTTAATAAATAAATGAAATAAAATGAATGAGAGAATTGAATTAGGAAAGGATGGGAACATTTTAATTATTTAATGTTTTATAAAATATAAGGGAAGAGAAATAGGGGAAAAAACTTAATTACATAAAGCTTATAAGTGTTCCCAAGGAAGTATGATATTTAATTGAAAAGTAATGTTAAAGATGTTAAGACTTTAATGAATATTAATGATAGAATTGAATTGGAATGGAATGAGTGTTTTAATTACATATATTTCACCTTTTAAGAATATAGTGTGTATTTTAAGAATGTACCAAGCAGAATTCGATTGGAAGTTATGTATTATATTGAATGTTATAACCTCAAGGTATATATTGAAGCTTAAATAAGAGTTGAATGGATAAAATTAAAAGATATAAAGGTGTCATACTCCAATTAGTAACTATGGGAGAAAATTTGTTTAATGAGAAAAGAAAATATAAAATTGAAACAGGACAGATAAAAGTGATATAATGATTTGAATTGATATGAGATAATTAAAATAAAATTGAGAAAATTAAGAGAGGAGAAAAACTATGTAGAAAATGTAAAACAGTAATAAGATATGGAATAGAACATAAAAGTGAGCATGAAATTGAATTTGTGTCTGTATGAAGAAGTGTAACCCAGGACCATGCTATTTTCAAAATAAGATGGTTTATATGTATTTTTTTTGTGAAAACCCAAATAAAATTTTCAAAAAAAATAAAATAAGTGTTTGCTCACAAAGCCAAATCCTTCACCCAACTGACAAAGAAAGAAGTGAAATTTGGTTGGACTTCTACACATTATGTGGCAATCAAAGAGTTAAAACAAAGAGATAAAACAGCTCTTTGCCCACAAGCACCTCCTGCAGCACCCAAACCCATCAAAACACATTTGTGATTCAAACTGATGCTTCAGATGTTGCCATCTTATTGTGACATCCTCAACAAAAAGCTCATAACCATTAAATATACCAGTGGTGGTATTTGACTGGTTCTGGAGAGCCGGTAGCAGTGATGAGCAGTGGAGACCGAACCGGTTTTCTTCACTACTCTGTGTTTGGCCCACCCACCTGCCTGGGCTTCCATACTCACTTTTATGGCCAGAATTCAAAGCGCAGCTGCTTTGCGTGGTGCAGAATAGCGCTGCACAGCAGCTGCTGCAGTGACCAGCATCGTGCAGGCTTGCAGGAGGCAAGTTAGAACACCTCTGCACCTGTGCAAAATGCATGTTTGGCACACGCGTGCATGCAAAGTATGCATGTGTGCAAAGTGCGGTCATCAAGCCACACCCACCGAACCGGTGGCAACTTTAG